TTTTATTGCTCAATCTTTGTATTTAAAGAATTAGTCATAAGGAAGTTAGTGGTGAGCTGGCCAAAACCCGGGTCACCATGGGCGGGAAGTGGCTGAGAAACTTGTAGCAGATTTTAGTTTTTTTTCTCTTTTTTTAATCTGCTGGCCACTCTGGCTAAACACACCAAAGACCATCCACTCCACCATTTCCTCCCAGCTATCCCAGCAAAAACAAATCCCCACCAGAATGGATAGGAAAAATGTTACTTCTGATGAAACACCACCAAGGTACCCATCTGGATTTTATGGATATTTAATATGTGCCAGAAACAAAATGATAGATTTTGTCATATTATATACATGAAATAGACCAGCCAACAGACCACCTAGGGTTCACAAACAGATTCCACTATAAATTCATACTCCAGGACTATCCAAAATGTAGGCACTCTGCTAGGGGATATTCTCCTAGTAAGTCCATGAGGAGCACGTGTACAACCCAAACACTCCTGGAAATGATCTGCTACAACTTACAAAGAAAGTCATAAGATCCTGATGCCAGAAAATAGTCTCTTTTTTAGAATAAGAGTTGAGACCTCTGCTTTAAAATAAAAATTGGTTGAAAGTGATCAGGTTTCTTTTTCACTTCTAAGTACCAACTTCAAAATACTAACACACATTCACACTCTGAGTCTACCTACTGATATTTTGAGAACAGGAGACTGAACTTGATAAAAATGAGGAAGAATTGAAACTCAGAAGACCTCAGTTTGGTAGGAAGAAGAAATAATTTGAAATATTTTTTTTAAAATATTAGATCATTTTTAAGGACAAAGTGGCTAAAGTAATATAACTTCTCCAGAACTATTTGGACTAATTTTTGTGATAAGCAAAAACAAAAACAAAAATGGGGCAAGGCTATAAAATCTCATATTCCAAATTCAGTCAGCTACAGAGTTGCAAACTCACCCTCCATATAACCTCAAAAAAATTTAAGTAAGATGGTTTATAAACAGAAATACTGAAAATAAATTATCCTTGAATACTTTTAGATTCTCCCCAGTATACCAAAAAATCACCCAGAATCCTAAACAAAACAATCACTGAAATGTTTGAGATCTGCTGCTGAGATGCAGGTTTGCAGGACAAGAAGAAAAGAACTACGCAGATGGCCTCCTCTCTCTCTCTCTCTGCTTGGGCAGGTCTTTTGGAGGTCCTAAGCCATGCAGATTCAAATTGGGAGTCCATAAAAGCCAGCAGTTACACTAAAATAATAATAATAGCATAAATAAAAATAGGCTATGGTTAGAAGGAGAGATCCGTTTACTGCTACCCTGCTGAGATACATTTGACCACCAAGAACAGGAAAGCTATTAGCATCCTGATTTAATGGGTAGAGTGGTTTTCAAACAAGGTATTTTCATGATGGACACAATGTAGACTCAGCAAAGTTTCTCCTTCAAGAAAAATATAGCTTCTATTTCAAAGAGCTCTGATTAGGCCTAATACCATTAGGGAACCATCAAGGACTTGTGTTGTTGTTTCTGCTCTTTAACTATCGGTTACTCTCTAAACCAAAAATTGTGGGTAGTTAATTTGACCGACAGTCAAGGTCTAGGAATGCAGGAGCAAGTCCAAGGTATAGACGAGCTTCAGATGTGGACAGGCTTCAAGGAGGTGGGGAGCTTTTCAGGTCGCCAGGTCCTAACCTTTTTCCTCCTTACCATTATCACTGTCATTACATACTAGCCTGGAATTCATTAAAAAAAAAAAAAAAAAAAATCATTTCCTTTATCACCTCCCCCCTAAAAAACAGTGAATACAACACAGTTTTAGGAATCCTCAATAAGCTTTATTAGTGGCACTGTAAATCAATTACAATCAGAAACCAAATAAACAAACCCACTGAACGAATAAATTCTTAACCATGGTTAGTTAACTGCTTATAACATATTTGGCAGGTATCTGTTTAAAAAGTCAACAAAATCAGTTCTCCTTGCAAATTAATTATCAAAAATATAACTGTTTTCAATGTCCATAATACTTGAAAGTACAAATATAAATTAAATAAGGTTCCAAAGACCACATACAACAAAATAATCTATAAAACAAAGCTAATTGTAAAAGAATTGTCCAATTTACTCTGTAGCTTTTATTTTGTTATATAAAATTATTTAAAAGAGTATATGTTATCTGTATCATACATGGACGTTCACATCCAGATGTCTTTCCTGTTAAATCCTTACTCTTCCCGTTGTCAAAATCTTAATTTTCACTCTTGGCTAGATTTCTCTTCCTTGGCAATTCTTTTTGTAACGCCACTGAAATATTTCTCACGGAAGGAATTATGACCTTTGTATAGGAGAAAGTGATCGCTTAACAGATGTGAATACTCGTCCCGGTTCTGGTTGGTTAGAAAATATAGAAAACAAAGATGTTTGAGTTATTTCTTTGCTTAGCTGGAAACCAATGCAAAATTACTTTAAGCAAAATCTCCCCCCCTCTGGGGCATGTTTGTTTTTCTTTATTATCTGAATTAGAAATACACCACCGCTCTCTATCTGTATCGAGCTTGCATATCCAAAAGTGTTTTCATCTGCTTCATCTCGTGTGATCCACACAACAATTCTCTGCACAGAGAGACCACATACTTTTTGCTGGAAAAACAGAGATCCAGAGAGGGCCAAAGAGAATCACCCCAGGCAACACAAGTCGAGACAACCACGAGCATCTTCAGATTCACAGTTTAGCACAAACTGAAATCAACTGTGACTATAAGAATCATCACACCAGGAAGCTTCTATTTCAAAGATATTTAACAATAATTTTGTATGATGTCACACAGAGAAATAAAACTATCTGGAGGTATATCCATATTTAGTCCACAAAATAAACTAGTCCTGGCAACTTTAACCACAGTAGATGAAGAGGCTAAACAAGTGATTTCCATACTCTAAGTCATCAAGAGACGGGGAAGCACTGGGGCTCAGACTGATGTTTAGGCACTGGAAATACAAACCTGGGTTAGAATGCTCTACTTCATCCTAGGAAACTGAGGGCTAATGAGCTTCGTCCGATTTCACTAAGCCATCTCAAACTGAAAAAATCTAATCGGAAATAAAATCTCAAAATCTCACTTCCTATGTACTTCTGTAAATTCAGATTCTACTGCATGTAAATTGATGTGATTTTGAGAACAAATGTAAAGACACAATTAGAAAATACAAAGCCTAATTTTTTATCTAGGTTTCAGTATCAAAATGGTACCTATAAATATATCTGGAATACAACAATCTTCAAAATATTTTTACATTTTTCCTTATTCCCATATGAGATGAGTATCTTTATCTTTTTCCTCATATCTAACACTCAATAAAAGCCCAGGTGTAGTAAAATTACATCGGCTGATTTGTTTTTTCAGAAATGATTTTGCCACAGATATTAAAAAAACAAACAAAAAAATCACACAAAACCCTAAATTATTAAACCTGCCCAGATTTCCAGATTCATTACAAAAAAAGAAAAAAAAGGCCTTCCCTGTGGTACCGTTCTGCCATTCCGTGTTGCAGCCTGCGTTCCATTTCACTTATCCATAGGATTCTACTTTCCTCTCCTAAGAATTTTGTTGGTTCATCTCTCTTGCTCTCTCTGCTATGAAGGCTTCATTCTCTTGTGAGTTTCCTTATTATCTTTTTCGTGGTCTCAGGAAGAATACAGGACAACCGGCGTTGTCACCCCCACCACCTTGGACTGGAACCCCTTTCCCATACTCCTGCTGTGTCTAGTAACTCCCCATTTGATCAGTACCTCAGCCAGCTCAGTACAGGAATTAGTGGGAAAAAAAAATACTACCCTAGAGATTGTAAGAAGTAACACCATCCATTTTCTCTGCACAAGGAAAAAAAACTGCCAGGCCTGAGGCACTTATGACCCAAAAGCAGGTATAGGGCTACTTTTGTACCAGGCATTGTTCCAAGCACTTTATATACACTGACTCATTCAATCCTTACAACGACAGTGTAAGAACAGCCTACAGTTGTCTCCACTTTACAGATGAGGAAACTTGAGGCACAGAAAGGTTAACTAGCTTGCCCACAGTCACACAGCTCTTGAGTTAAAAAGCCAAGGTATAAATACATCTCCAGAGACTGAGCTCTTAACCTGCATGCTGTATTGCTTCTAACAATCACACCATTAAAAAAGTAAACCATGAGAATAAAGGTAAAGTATCAAATTTTTAAATACTACTTAAATTTTATGACACGAAGTATAGTAGTGCCACTAATATACTTATATATACTTTATACACTAACTATAAACTCCTGCAAGCACATGAAAACATGCCAATGGTTACTAACTTCAGGCTATATAATTTCCAAAAGATAAAAGATAAATCTTATCTGATCAACCTGTAGGTATACGATTAAAGAATACCAAATGAAACGTGGCATTTACTAGGTATTTATTATGGGCCAAAAACAATGCCAACGTTTTATATAAACCCATCAGCTCTCAGAGAGAAGTACACTACTACTAGCATCTCCCACAGATGAGGAAGTAAAGAGTACAGGCCTAAGAGAGCACAGCTGGTAAGTGGTAAGGATTTAAACATATGCCTACTTGACCCCTGATACCATACTCTTAACTGCAACAAATGAGGATTTCTCCAAAAGAGCTAACTTTTTCCTCAACTCAAGGAGTATCTCTGGGGATCCAGATTTAAACTAAGGCTTTGACAGCTGAGCTGCCTACCCACGAAGCAACAGAACTGGATCAGAAGTCTTACTAACGTACTGCTAGCAACTAAGAGGATTATTTCAGTGAAACAAGAGGATAATTTCAAAACAAAATTTTTATATGAAGAGAACATCTAGGGAGCCACAAGGATGCCTGAGGGATACCATAATCCTATGAGTGTCATCGATTTCAGAGGAAGATTCTAGTCTGGTCCACATCTCAGGACTGTTTAAGGACAGCAGCAATACAGAACAATCCAGCATTTAACCTTGGCTTGCACGTTTCAACTTTCATCAAAAGTCTGACTCAAAAGAGTCAGCTGAAAGGAAGGGATATGCCATCATTCGCTCCTCCAAGTATTCTAAATTCTATCCCTGTATCAAATAAGATCTCCAGAAAACGTGTCCACTTCCTGACCTATGTTAGCGTCATCCTGGCAGAAATGTCACTTGGTTACACTTCAGAGCTCCATCCAGATGCTGACATCTCTCCGGCTGCTTGACTTCTCCTCACAGCTCCGTGCGTCATTCTCCACTTGGGCACTGAAATCAGAAGCCTGGATCAAATGCCTCTTCCTCTTCCTCTCACATTGAGTCAGACCTCGAATCTTCCATTCTGCATCCTAAATGTCTCAAATCCACTTCTCTCACCCACAATGTCGGTAATGAGTTTCAGCTTCATTGTATCTTCCGGAGCCTTTTCCCCCTAAACGGCCAGTTGCCATGCCTTCAGCGGCTCCCTCTCCAGTCTATTTTCCTTACTGAGACCAAACTCAACTTGTTCAAACACAAATCTAATATGTCAGTATTTCTGGCTAAAATCCAAATGGGTTCAAACTCTCCCCAATTCTGAGGCTTTCCCCTCACTGTCTGGGATGAGAGTCAACTGCACCATCAGTTTGCTGAATATCCTCTCCGTTTCCTCTGCCACACCAGAGGAATCAGGCAGTGAGGTCCTTCCCAGGTCTGCCTTCTGTCTTCTCTCCTCCCTGTGACGCCTCCAAGCCACACATGATCACCTCTCTGCTGAAATGCATTGGAGATTACTTCAGGGAATGTTCTGGAGCTGCAGTGGTGAAGACGAGAAGATAGATTCCAACATGCAGGCTTACCGTAAGACATTTGAGGATGGGCTGGAGACTGACTGAGGCTCAGTTGCTAGTGGGTCTAGACCACCTACGCTGCAATTACACAGCTCACCCGGGGAAGCAAAAGTACAAGACAAAAGCTGAAACACAATGGGAGATAGGCTTCCCCACAGACCAAAGAGACAGCTTAACAAAATAGCTTGTCTTTGACCTAAAGGACATAAACAGGACAAACTGGTGATAAAAAGCAGAGAATATGGACGATCAGAGTAAGAGAACAGAAATGAACAGCAGGAGCCTGGAAAACCCAAAAGGAGTAATTACTACCTATGCTAATTAATGGTTATCAAGAAAACGTACTGCCGGGGCACCTGGGTGGCTCAGTTGGTTAAGTGTCTGCCTTCCGCTCAGATCATGATCCTGGGATCCTGGGATCAAGCCCTGTGCTAGGCTCCCTGCTCAGTGGGGAGTCTGCTTCTCCCGCTCCCTCTGCCCTTCAACCCTGCTCAAACTCTATCACTTCTTCAAATAAATAAAATCTTTCAACAAAAGAAAAAGAAAACATTTTACTATGTATGGCATATTTATCTGAGTAGTTTAGATCTCAAGACTTCCTCAGAATAGAGTAAAAGCAAAATAAGCCCCTACCAGACCATATATTCAGTGGTACAGGGACCTAGAGGCAGAGAAATACATGCTCCTGGAAAAAGTTAGGAAAGGCCTTAGAGACCTTAGAGATGCAACCTCTGGGAGGAAAAAAAAAAATTCCTATTTTATCTCCCCGGGAGTACAGAATAATCAGTGTGAGGTATGTGTTTGGGTCCTATGCTGGAATGCCTTCTTCTGAAAGGCTGATCGTGAAATAAGATATTCATAACAAAAACTCCTGAAAAACCCAATAGTTCCAAATCTCTTGTGCAGTCAGAGATCTGGCAAGAGCTGCTCCATTACCGAGTAGCATTAAGTCTTGCTCCAAGGTAAGCGAGAGACCCCAGAAATGTCAGCTACCACTTTCATCTAAGTGGAAACACCATAGTTCATAAAATGTCCCACATGAAACATTCGGTATTACCTATAGTCTATCACATATTATCACATACATGCCATACATGTAAATACCATACATCTGTGAACAATACACATTTAAAATATATCCTTTCCATATGAAATCTACTATTTGCAACTGTTCAGAATTTAGGTTACCTTGATGCTGAAGAAAATGGCAAACTTGATTTTTTTTTTCTTTTTTCTTTGATTCTATCTTCAGTTTATCAGGGCTCACACTTGAGATGATGATATTCAACTCTACATATTTTTCATCACCTTTTCATGACTCCTCTCTATACACATTCCCAGCCCATCTCAACCAAGAATATCTGCAGATTTTTTTTTCAACTCCGTATCTTGAAGACCAAAGTGCTAACTAAAAGGAGAAGAGTATCCTCAAGCAACACAACCCGTGATGTCCCTCATACGTCAAGCTCAAGCTTGCCCCAGTGTTTGACTGCTGGTTTCCCTAACACTTCCAAATCTCTCTAACACTATCATTCTTTGTATCATCTATGTATCCTAAGACCTGAGTTCTGCCAGTTATTAGTAAGCAAGAAAATACTTCATGGAAAATAAAAACACACAAAGACTTAGGAAATGCCCAGAGAGAAAACTATGGCAGTGAATGATTACAGACTATCCTTCCCAAATTTCATAACTACCAGTTAAATTTTGGAGCATGTTAGTAGTTAAGGAGTTATGATTAAAATATTAAGATTATCGATTACACTCTTTCTTAGACACTTACCATCTAAAAAATTTTATTGCTAAGGTATAGTGGATACACAGTGTTATATTAGTTTCAGGTGAACAACACAGTGATTCAACAATTTTATACATTACTCAATGCTCACCACAGTGTTTATCACCATCAGTCACCACACATGACAATATTATTGACTATACTCCCTATACTGCACATGTATTCATTTCCATCACCTATTTTATAGTTGGAAGTCTGTATCTCTTAATCCCCTTCACCTATTTTGCTCATCCCCCCATACCCACTTTCCCTCTGGTAACCACCAGTTTGTTCTCTGTATTTAAGAGTCAGTTTGGTGGCACTTAGGTGGCTCAGTCACTAAGCGTCTGCCTTTGGCTTGGGTCATGACCCCAGGGTCCTGAGACTGAGCCCCACATTGGGCTTCTTGCTCAGCGGGGAGCCTGCTTCCCCTTCTCCCACTCCCCCTGCTTATGTTCCCTCTCTCTTTATCTCTCTGTCAAGTAAATAAATAAAAATCTTAAAAAAAAAAAAAAAGAGTCCATGTGTTCATTTGCTTTTTAGATTCCACAGCTAAGTGAAATCATATAGTGTTTGCCTTTCTCTGTCTGATTTCACTTAGCATAATACCCTCTAGGTCCAGCCATACTGTCATAAATGGCAAAATCCCATATTTTTATGGCTACATAGTATTTCATTGTACATATACACTAGATCTTCTTTATTCATTCATCAATTGATGAATTCCTGGGTTGCTTCTGTGCCTTGGCTATTGTAAATAATGCTGCAGTGAACAGAGGGGTGTGTATATCTTTTTGAATTCATGTCTTTAATCTCTTTGGGTAAATACCCAGTAGTGGAATTACTGGATCATATGGTATGTGAGGAAAATCACTGTTTTCCATAGTAGTTGCACCAATTTACATTACCACCATCAGTGCATGAGGGTTCCTGTTTCTCCACATCCTTGCCAACATTTGCTATTTCTTGTCATTTTGATACTAGTCATTCTGACTGGTGTGAGGTGACATCTCATTGTGATTTTGATTTGTAGTTCCCCGATGATGAGTGATATTGAGCATCTTTCCATATGTCTGCTGGGCATCTGCATGTCTTTGGAAAAATGTCTATTCAGGTCCTCTGTCCATTTTTTAATCAGGTTGCTTTTTTTCTGGTGTTCAGCTTTATAAATTCTTTATCTATTTGAGATATCAACACCTTACCAAACATATTGTTTTTTTATAACACTTTCTGGAGGAAAATCTGTACTAGCCTCAGATGGCTATATAATGGAATTATATTGCTTTCAAACCTATCACTTAATCTTGCAAGATAAACAGCATAAATTTGACAAGAAATAACAAGTTCAGATTCAAGAAAGCAACTTATATTTACAACTATTTTACAAAAGTCAATTATTTTCTGCATCTTTTCCTAGAAGATCATTATGTGAATTTTGCAGATAAGGAAATGGAAACTGAACCAGTCTAAGTTGTCTGTCACAGATCACACAGTCAGTAGATAGCATTTGCAGAATTGTGGCCTAGATCAGACTTTGAAACCCATGCTTTTTCCATCAAACTTCTTTTTTTAGTAGAAATTATATCAAAACAATAGTTAAAGAGTTAACTTCCCACATGATAGATTAGTGGGTCATTCAAAGTGGAGTTTGACAGAGGACATTTCTCACGGTACAGCAACATTATGGTAGCATGTATTTCTGATCTAAGCTTTTAGACAAAACCCCTTTAACCACTGTCCCACCCAGCCAATTTCCTGTCCTATCAGTACTGCTAATTCTGAACATAAACCACTCGAGGAATTTTAACACAGTTGCCAAAGAAACCTTACAATTGGTAATGTACTTTTATGTGTATACTGCCCTCTGGTGGCTGAAGTAGATAAATCATTCCTTAAGGTATTTCCTGATGATCATTAAAGGACAGTTGACTGTACATCTCTGACCGTCAGTCCCTCCCTGTTTTTGAGTCCTACCTGTTGTAAACATCTAGAGTCGCAGAGCACCAGCATGACCACGATGGCCATCTTTCGTAAGGAAACATTAGCATTTATTCACACCATTTTATTTTTTAAAGGATAATGTGGAAATACACAAATACAAATCCACCTTGGTGACTCTAAAGTATATCATTGTCCTCCATGTCCAACCTAGAACTGCAAATTATCCTCTAATCAAAGAAAGAAAAAGTACATAAACTGACCTTGTTCAAGTTAATCCTTATTCAAGTTAATTATTTTTACAACTCTACATAAAAGAGTAAGGAACAAAAAAGACATTAAAAGGAAAGTACTTCAGCCACTTATAATTTAATAATTTTTAATCTCAATGGGAATAAATTCTCAAGAAAAGAAACAATATTGTATGTTTTGCAGTAACATTTGAGGCGGATACTTTAAATGGAAATAATGATACCCTGAATTACACTGTGAGAATAGACACATGAAAGAGTGTTTCTCAAACTGGGCATCATAAATCACTCAGACTTTAAAGGAACTGAAGATTCTTTATTGAGAAATCCACTTAGGTAAAACTATCCTTCTGATTAATGCTTTCTCCCAGAAACCTGCCATTCTTTGCTATCATCTCCTCCTTAAACAGAGGGAAGGTGTTATGATTTTCCACAATATGGTGAATTCGACTACTTTTTTGGTTTGCTTCTCATTAGAAATGAGGCCTAGGTATTGAGGGACTCAAACATTTTGTAACATTGATTTTTGAAGAGCGATGTCAGGGTAATGACAAAATTCTGTGTACTTTCAAACAGAAAACTTTGAGCGCTAACTATCTATTCCTACTCTTCCTTCAAATAGATTATTTAAATATTATTGAATTTGGCTGGTTTTAATTCCAGGGGACCTCAAATAATCCCTGAACAGTTACTAGTCATTCCGTTAGTATTTGTTGAACTGAGTAAAACTGTCAAGATCTGTGAATTCACAGGGCTTATATGCAAGTGGAAGACAGACATTTAAGAATATATACCTAAACATATACTTAGCATTACTAACTGTGACTAAACACTGGAAAGAAAGGGTTACCATAAGAATATGAGACAGCTAGCTAGATGGTGTAAAGAGTATGGACAAAAAAGACTTCCCTAAGAACTAGTATCTACCTGAGAACTAAAAAAGAAACTAAACTTATAGAAAGAGAGGGGAAGAAAACACTGTAGGGAATACAACAAG